CCAAATCCAGCCTCTCCAAAACACTTCCTCTGCCACTCAAACAGCCAGACCTCAAAGTACGCCTGTATTCTTCTGCCACTTAATACACTTTAAATACATCTGTGTTCAAAATGTTGACAATTTTGAGGGAAAAAAGGTATTTATCTGAGATGTTTTTCATTGGTAGACAGAAAATGTACAGTGCCCGTCCTCTTCGAGCACAGATGTCCCAGAGACGCTGTCCAAATTTAATCCCCACCCAGTCCCAACCCTAGCGGGAGCTTATGAATTCAGTGACATCAGAACTCTGCTTCGTGAATGGGTCACCACCATCTCAGGTATGGCAGAACAAGAACTTTTTACATACCAGTATATATTTGCGCATATATTGTGCAGTTGGTTTATCTGTGTGGCGCTGCATATTCACAGAACCTATGGAAGAGGACATTCTCCAGGTGGTGAAGTTCTGCACAGAACTCGTGGAAGATAAAGACCTGGAGAAACTACCTTGTCATCAAATACATGAAGAGCTATAGCTCTGAATTCTTCCTGGCTAATTCCTACAACAAACACAAGTACATTATAAATCTCACCAGTAGTAATAATACACTACCGTTTAAAAGTTTGGCGAGTACGATGATTTTTTGTGTGTGTGTGTGTTACTATTGTGTTACTATGTTTCTATTTCAAGTAAATGCTGGTCTTTTAAACTTTGAATATTCATCAAATAATCTTGAAAAAATTTCACCGTTTTTAACATTATTCTTATCAATGTTTCTTAAGCACCAAATCAGCATATTAAAATGATTTCTAAAGGATCATGTGTCAAATTACATTTTAAAAAATATTAAAATCAAAAACAGTGTCGGCACCCATGGCCTTGTGGTTAGTGCGACGACATGAAGCGCAACTGCGCTCACGGCCACCCGAGTTCGAATCCCGCCTCGAGGTCCTTTGCCGATCCTGCTCCCTTCTCTCCTCCCAGTGCTTTCCTGTCAGCTCTCTACTGTCCTCTCAAAATAAAGGCATAAAAAGACCATAAATATAACTAAAAAAAAATAAAAATCGAAAACAGTTGTTGTAATTAAGCAGTTATTTTATAATATTTCTATTTTTACTGTATTTTGATCAAATAGAAATGCGGCTTTGGTGAACATAAGATACTTCTTTCAAAAACATTTCAAAATCTTACTGACCCGAAACCTTTGAACAGTACTGTAGGTTGATTGGGTGTTTCTTAATTAAAGTATTTCATCGTTTTAACTGTTGGTTTCAGACTAATGCAGCAGTCCTCCGAGTCAGTATGGAGCATGGCCTTTGACTTCATCCTTGACAATGTTCAGGTAGTGGTACAGCAAACCTATGGTAGCACTCTGAAGATCACATAGGAGGACCGTCCTAACCTCAGTCACTGTGACATCAGCCCAGACCTGCCACCTCATCATGACCTGTGAGAGACAACAAAACCACTTGAGTCTGCCAATCGTTGTAGCATCGCTTGTCCTCTCCTCAGAGGATTACGAGATCATGCCAATGATGATGAGGAACAGATGAGCATGCCAGCTACATTCAGAAGCAGCTGAACACTGAGTTTTTCTTTCATCATGATGTCAATTCTAGACTGATGTCTAGAGGTACTTTGGTAACACTTTTCAATCAGGTTGGATTTTATAATATTTCTATTTTTACTGTATTTTGATCAAATAGAAATGCGGCTTTGGTGAACATAAGATACTTCTTTCAAAAACATTTCAAAATCTTACTGACCCCCCAAACCTTTGAACAGTAGTGTAGGTTGATTGGGCCTTTCTTAATGAAAGTATTTCATCGTTTTAACTGTTGGTTTCAGACTAATGCAGCAGTCCTCCGAGTCAGTATGGAGCATGGCCTTTGACTTCATCCTTGACAATGTTCAGGTAGTGGTACAGCAAACCTATGGTAGCACTCTGAAGATCACATAGGAGGACCGTCCTAACCTCAGTCACTGTGACATCAGCCCAGACCTGCCACCTCATCATGACCTGTGAGAGACAACAAAACCACTTGAGTCTGCCAATCGTTGTAGCATCGCTTGTCCTCTCCTCAGAGGATTACGAGATCATGCCAATGATGATGAGGAACAGATGAGCATGCCAGCTACATTCAGAAGCAGCTGAACACTGAGTTTTTCTTTCATCATGATGTCAATTCTAGACTGATGTCTAGAGGTACTTTGGTAACACTTTTCAATCAGGTTGGATTTGTTAACATTAGTTAATGCATCAAGTGTCATGAACTAACATTGAATCATTTTTGACAGAATTTATTCATCTAGGTTATTGTTACTATTTTACTAGTTTTTGTTAGTTACTAATGCATTAACCAATATTAACATACACTACATTTGTAACATTTAAAGATGTATATGTAAAAATTATTATTTTACAGCACTTTAAATCTTGGTTAAAGCATTATTGATTTTTAGTTAATGTTACCTATTGGGTTAACTAATATTAACATGTACAACCTGGTTTTAAAATGTTGCCATAAGTTTTTTTTTGTTGTTGAATGTTTTAAATGCACCGACTGTCCTAAACCAAGCAAAGCAAGCCTCTTTGCTTTCTGTTAGCTTTTTGGATTTTTTTTCTTGTCTTTCTTTTCTTAATTTCTCGTACTCCAGAACATGTGTTTATCTTGAAAGCCTCAGAAGTATTTAAAGACTTTGTAGCAAAGCAAAATGGAGTGGCATGTTATTTGCCTTTTAGGGGTCAGTCTGAGATGTTAAAAGTGGAAATCGGAAAAACAACCCCTTCTATCAAAGTCAGTTTAGCATGTGGATACTAACATTTTATGTAAAGCTAACATTTATGTTTTTCTAGAAAAATATTACTCCTTCTTATTGATTGTTTCTTGTTGTAAGCTTGTCTGTATGTGTAAAAGAGAAAGAGATAAATATTTATGAAGAAAAAGATTAAAACATTGGCCAGGTTAATTTGACTAAATTGAGTATCTAATGTCCTGTCATGCTTCTCAGTCTTTTATTCTAAATTTGTGGATGTGGTGCTGGAGGAAAGGAAGGGTTTTTCAATCAGGTGGATGTGAACTGCATAATGGGTCGAGGTGGATTCTTCAGTGAAACATTTTCCTCAAGTCTTGTTCAATGTAGGTTACACTGAAGACTGGAGTGATGATGCTGAAAATTCAGCTTTGATCACAGGAATAAATTACATTTTATCATATATTCAAATAGAACGCAGTTATTTTAAGTAGTAAAATATCACAATATTACTGCTTTTGCTGTATTTTGGATCAAATAAATGCAGGCTTGGAGAGACTTTAAAAACATTAAAAATCTTACGGTTCAAAAACTTTTGACAAGGTAGTGTACTTGCCTTAGCTAACAACACAGTTGACTTACCCTTCCAGTGATGACATAGCAGGTTAAATATTCATCAAAAAATTAGATTGCCTCCATTTGTACCCCTCAGGCTTTTGTAGGCTTTTAAAGAGTCTCCGGAACCATTAAGGGTAACAGAGACTACATGCTTCTGTGAACCTTCAATGCTGCAGAAATTTCTCTGTACACTTCCCCAGATCTGTGCTTATATACAATCCTGTCTCGGAGGTTGACAGACAATTCCTTGGACTTCATGGCTTGGTTTGTGCTCTGACATGCACTGTTAACTGTGGGACCTTATATAGACAGGTGTGTGCCTTTCCGAACCATGTCCAATCAACTGAATTTACCACAGGTGGTTGTAGAAATATCTCAAGGATGATCAGTGGAAACAGGATGCAACTGAGCTCAATTTTGAGTGTCATGGCAAAGGCTGTGAATACTTATGTACATGTGATTTTTGTTTATTTTTAATAAATTTGCAAAGATTTCAAACAAACTTCTTTCACGTTGTCATTATGGGGTATTGTTTGTAGAATTTTGAGAAAAATAATGAATTTAATCCATTATGGAATAAGGCTGTAACATAACAAATTGAGGAAAAAGCGATGTGCTGTGAATACTTTCCGGATGCACTGTATGTGACGTAGCCACACTCACTTGCTAGTCCGTCTCATTCTAGGATTTATTGTCTAGGAGGACTCTAGCCTACAAGACTCTGAAGGACTGAACTAGGAAGGACGGAGCCTCGGTAAGATGTGGCATTCCGTTTGAGAAGCACCTGAAGTGTGCCATTTGGGACAGGGCCTAGATGGGCTGAATAAGAACGCCAATTGCTATCCTCAAAACCTCAACAACAACAGAAAAAAATGTATGTAATAGATTTTTATTGGAAACAAGGCATTGTCCTGTTTTGGAAAATATGACATATCCTACTTATCAACCGCTTTTAACCTTTCTTTGAAGCAAATAAAACACCTGAAAAATGATCAGTGAATGAGCTGTGTACCAATGACTCAGAAAATACTATTAAACTATAAGAACTTGGCATGTTTTTTATTCAATTTGCAAATATCTAATTTAGTTAAGATGTTATGATGTTTGTTATATTATAGCAAATTTGTAACAGTTCACTAGTTCTACAATTTGCATTATTGCATATTTTGCAGCAAACATGATTCTAGAACAGATAGTATCTATAATGATTCTCAGAGTAAACTGTAAAAGGTTATAACCTGAAAGTTAGAATATATATTTTTATCTAATTAAACATTATTTTGTTGATGCAACCTCATGTTAGGCTATCAAGTTAGTTAAGTTGATAAACTAATTAATATTTCTGAGTTTAGAAAAAAACATTTTAAATAAATTCATAAATGGTTAATTAGTTAGTTGTTAGTGTAAATGTTACAGTTGGGGTGGGGCAAGTGGGGCCCCTAAGGATTATAAAGTGTCCAGGGGCCTGTTTCCTAAAACAAGTTTACCAAATAAGACAGGCTTAATTGAGTTAGTCTGACAACATTGATTTGGTTCAAAATAATTCAGACCAACTGAAATAAGCCTGGCTTGTTTGTTAAACTTGTTTTATGAAACATCCCCCAGCAGAGGACAGCAGAATAGAGTTATTGTGAATCTGGATGACTTACTCGCTGTGATTGTGCTGACCAAAGAAGTTGATTCCTAGAAAACAAAGTTTAGTTTTTAGCCTGCGTTAAGTCAGTCGGCTATTAGCCGTGCGTGTTACTCAATTTAAATACTCACCTGAGGAACTGAGGCATCTGATGGCGGAAGACTCAGTCATTTTCACTGTTTTTTGACCAATCTTGAGCTCGTGTTTGTTTGTTCAGAACCCGCTGTCTCACTGAGGCAAATATAAGAACATAATATGAGTGAACAAACATAGGCTATTATTTTTATTATCATATTCACGCAAACAAATGATATCAGTTTCGTTTCTTGGACTCCTCCCACGGTAACTCCACAACATATTTATGCGTAGACATAGCTTATTATGACACCTAATAATATTAAAGCAGCACTTTTACATGATATGTTACAGTGATTCAGATCAGAGTTTTATAGGCAACTTTACCTTCCTTTGATTTGAATCGAACAGTTGCTGTCTGTCCGCCAGAAACACTATATTCCACCTCACAGTCGCCTCCATCGGATTTCTTACTCTGGAAGTAGATGATTAGTTTGTTTTTTTAATTTGGGAGTGTGGGGGTCCCACAGGACCTCCACACAGAGAGGGTATGGGAACTCATAAGTAGCCATGTCCGCCTGTCGTGTGACTGAGGTGTTTGTCGAAGTCAAAGGCTTAAAACTTTCACTTTGCATGGCCATGCGTCAGGCGGGGTTTTTCACAACAACGTAAAAAACAGTTTTAGCTTCAAGCAAAAACCCGTTTAGTATAGTCTCCTCGTTTCGACACGCTGAAACTATCGCTGTTTTTGTTGAGAAAAAAAAAAGAGTATTGCAATAAAGGATATAAAAGGCGAGTGAACAGATATTTGTAGGTTATTGAGTAGGCTATATCGATCTCTGTGCGCATTTAATGCATATAAGGTCGCAGTCGCACAACTCTTTCGCTTTCGATTTTAATTCAAATAATTTTTTGTGCAATTTTGACAGTCATTCAGGTGCCTATCTTGACACTGTTTTGTCTGTTTGTCAAAACCAAGGTAAGATGTATCTGAAATTTCAAAAACAAGTATAGCTACTTAAGTTACGTTACTAGGGAACTCTGTTTCCGGGTCTAGCGATCAGGATTTGTTGCAGTTTCGTAGATGACATATTTTATCATTAGAAACATGGATATTCATTGTGTAAAAACACGATGTTTATGCTTTAAAGCAACACATAAGCACGATTTTGTGCCTCTTTTTGATGATACCAAAAGGCATTGCTCACTTACAGACTGGACAAGACGTTGTGCAGATTACCAAAAGGGGGAAAAACTTTAAGACATTAATAGGAATTTCAAGAAAATAATTCAGTGTGATGTCTTTGAATTGTCCAGTAAGACTTTATTCCAATATGAATAGGGATCTGATAAACATTACACAACATTTAATAAAAATGAAATCAAGATTTAAAAGCCAGTTCCACTTTATCAAGTAGCATATAGTTTGATTCTTAAAGGAGGCTTATTTAATACTATTAGTATCCTTTAGCATTACTTTCTAACTTACAAATTTAGAATCATTTTAAACATTCTAATAGGATATTTTGACTAATGAATCTGTGGTCAAATATTTTAGAAAAGTGAAAAAAATTGACGTGACATGTGGCCAAGTATGGTGACCCATACTCGGAATTAGTGCTCTGCATTTAACCCATCCAAGTGCACATACACAGTAGTGAACACACACACACACTCCGTGAACACACACCCGGAGCAGTGGGCAGCCAATGCTGCGGTGCCCGGGGAGCATTTGGGGGTTCGGTGCCTTTAAAGGTAAAGAAATATAGCTTGATTCAAATTTAGATTCAGACAATTTTTCATTTCAATCTGTTCCATACAGTATGTCATGATAAAATATTTCACATAAGATCTTTTTTTTTTTTCAGAAGGAAGCTGATGCCAACAGGTGACTAGCATGTCACATCACCTTGAATTCGCCAGACACATGAAGCCTAAATGACAGAAAAGAGTAATCTTGCTTGTTACAAGGCCAAAGTGTCTCAAAACACAAAGTCACATAAATGTATACTTCCTATTGAATGTTATTGCTGTTGTCTGACCCAATTTATGAGTCAGTGGCTGATCAAATCGGATCAGATTCTGGACCAAATACTCTAAACAAGTACACATGTTCACATTTAATTCACGTTTAGACCACTAGACTGTCATGCTTTTGAGAACATGATTGTGCTAATGCACAAAGAATAAACATTTTGATATCAATCTTGTCTAGACCTGACATGTCCATCATATAAAAATATCCAGTAAAGGATTAGGGATCCTCACACCTTTCTGTGCCACAGATAACTGCACTGTGAGAATCACAGATGATAAAAACCTAATTGACATCACTTTTATAAATTAAAGGGGTGGTTGATTGAAATTTCCCTTTTTTAATATTAGTTGGTGTGTAATGTTGCTGTTTGAGCATAATATCTGCAAAGTTACGACACTGAAAGTTCAATGCAAATGGAGATATTGTCTTTTAAATTTATGGCAGTTTAATGCCTACAAAAAGGCTCGTAGGGACTATAACAAGCTACTTCCCGGGTTTGTGACATCACAAACCCAGAAACTGATATAACCCCGCCCCCGGGAACATGCAATGAAGGGGGCTAGGCCATGTTGCGCTCCTTTAGAGAAGAGGAAGAGTTGTTGCCATACTGTCAAAACTAGGGGTGCACGAAAAAATCTATTCATATATGAATCGTGATTTTGTCTTAAGTTCTAACGATTCTAATGGATTCACAAGATTCAAAATCAATGTTCTAAAGCAGCGTTTCTTAATACTGTTCCTCGTGTCCCCTGCTCTGCTCTGCATCTCTCTCTCTCTCTCACACACACACACACACCTGATCGTCAGCTCCAATAAACTGTGTTCCAATTATACACTTTATGTGTATAGACAGACAGTTCTAACGATTCTAATGGATTCACAAGTTTCACAATCGATGTTCTAAAGCAGCGGTTCTTCATCCTGTTCCTCGCGTCCCCTGCTCTGCATCTCTCTCTCTCTCACCTGATCATCAGCTCGTCAGCTCCAATAAACTGTGTTCCAATTATACACTTTATGTGTATAGACAGACAGATCTTTTTTCACATAGCTATGAGAAGCGTTAAACATAGACGTGCACGCGGTTGCCGTGCTGTATTAAAGCTTTTATCAGGATAAAACCGTATATATTAGAAGCTAACATAAGCAGTAGCATTTACAAATAACAGCATATCTAAAAGTATGAGACAACAACAAACAAAAAACATACCATTAAGAGCCGTGTGCTTACACAGGTTCTGCGCGATCCTCTTCACTAACATCCTCTGCGTCTCAATCGGGCTCAAATGGATAAGCGATACTGATGACGCCATTGTTTATAATACAACCAGAGCACATGCCACTGAGGTGAGGGGCGTGACATTTAGACATGCACTGGCGGTTTAGCGAATCACAACACACTGGACTAGCTAACCAATCAGAGCCCATTGCATATTTCTGAGGGAGGGGCTTGATAAAAACAGGAACTCATTGGAGCGTTCAAAGGAGAAGGGACAGAGCGGTGTAGAATAAAGGTAAATAATGTGAAAAATAATGTTAATGCTTCGTTAAAAAAAAAAAAAACACACGTTAGACTGCACCCCATAAACACAATCAAGCATAGAAAAAAAAACAGTCAACCACCCCTTTAAGAAATTAACCATTTGTAGGGTTAAAACAATTATCAACTGTTGCTATGTGAGGTATATAGCAATATAACTAAACTATGTGTTTGTAAGACACATTTGTCTCTCTTGCCTCAAAATAATCCATTACTGAACCAGCACAAGCTGATCTGTGGTCACAAATGAGCACATGCTGTCCCAACTTCCATCTATACAGTACACACTTTTCATGAGGATGGAAACACACCCACACACTCATTCACACAGATCACTCGGACTCTGAGATTTCCATGCCATCCACCAGCAGCATGTGAATGATGCCATCTCGTCTCTTGCCGCTGCTCACAGCCTTGATGCAGCAGTCATGGTCACCCAGAGTGAAGTGTGTCTCTGTGCCATCATCAACAAACTCACCCTGAGGGAGAAAGACAGGAGAAATGAATGTTTTACTCCTGAATGAATGGTAGTTATGGTAGTCACATGTGTTGTGGAACAGGTATGTTCGGTAGGGCTGTGACCACATCTACTTTGACAGCGTCACATGTCAGTCACCAGAGGTGTAAAGTATTGGAGTAAATGTAATCAGTTACCGTACTTTTACTCGAGTATGGTTTTTAGGTACTCTTTACACCTCTGTCAGTCACTGTGACTATTTTTGTTTTTATCTTTGCCCTGTTGATTTTGTTGGGGCACTTAATCTAACTAGCATCAGATGGTAGATTTAAAGTTTTATTTTGCTTATTTTATTACAGGTAAAATGTGCAAACATAATTATTTTATTATAAGAAAATAATACATTTTAATCAAAAATATTAAGACTTTACATTAAGGTTTGATTAGTTAACATTAGTTAATGCTTTGGGTATCATGAACTAACAATGAATGAGAATTTTTATAGCATTTATAATTTTAGGCTCATATTAAGTTATACACTTTTTTAATACATTTTTAAAGTTAATAAATATAATGTTTATTGTTAACTTAAATTCACTCATAATTCATTACCTAATGTTAATTTATACAACTTGAACTGTTAAAAAGTAAAAAATTAAACAGAAGAAATTAAAACAAAAAAGAAATCAACAATAATGTAGATTAATAAATGCTTAACAAATATTGTTCATTGTTAGTTCAATAAATAAGTTTAGCAAATGAATGTAAATGGATAAAGTAACTGCTGGACTTACAGCCGTTTCCATTTTCTGTCCATTGCACCATATATCCATGGTATCTTTCTCTGTTGAGGACAGAACAGTTTAAGTGATCAATTAGCAGGTTGCAGGATGAGTGATAAAGATAAAAACATAAATATAAATCCTACTTTACCATACAAGTCTCACTGACTCACCTTCACTGCTCTGATCTGTGACTTACTTTAAATCTAGGATCTCAGCATTTTCCAATGTGTGTCTGCCATTGTGATTACACATTCTTTTGTCTTGTGCTGAGCTTTTCTTGTTGGCACTTGACTTGTCTTTTCAGTCACATTAGTAGTCAGTCATGAAATACTCTAACTGTACTTTACCATTGTTTAAAAGCATAAGCCAAATGACCGCAGGTAATGGTTAACCTGAGCAGGTGTCCAATCTGGTACACAAAAAGATGTTTTAATTTGAATAATCCATGATGTTATCATAGTAAAATTATATATTAAAAACATGCAACTGGGAGGAATTAAATGCACAATACTGAATTATTCATCTGAAAAACGGGGAGTTCTCTATATCAGCCTGTTCTGTGTTCACTATCACTCCTATTGAAAATGAAAGTGGTTTGATATTTTATTCGGACTTTATACTGACAGGTTCAGCAGGACCTGTGATTCATAACTTAGTGGCTAGTCTTTAAAAAATCTGTCCTTGCCCACCACTCATTGCTACACCCCTGATATATAAGCCATATAAACAGATAAATCAAAGGTCAGGAAAGTCCTTGGAAGTTTCTCTTTGACAGTTA